ACTAAACGAAAATTCGAATATCAGATTTTAAGAAATTCCTAAATTGGACGCTCTGAGAGTGAGGCCTGAAATGCTCTCGCCTCTGAAAAATCATCTAAATTTCCTAGTCACACTTTACATCGGTTGAAAAATGGGCGGACCCGACGGGCTTGTTTTCAATCATTTGAAATTTGAAATTTGTTTCATTCATTTTCAAAATCATTTGAAATTTGTGATTATTATGAAAATTGATTCATAACATGATTTTGCTTCTTGAACAAATGTTTCTGGTTTCTATAACAAACACCTTTCACCATATAATGGTATTTGGCGTTTCGCCTATTGATTTACTGCAATAAAAATGTGTAAATGTTTATAGAGTTTTTATTAGCATATTCAAGCACCTGTGGCTACGCCGAAATACTTCAATTGAGATTAGGAGTATGTTTATGTTCAATTTGATATCTTGCAAATATATCAAACTGAATATTAAGCATCTTTTAATCTCAATTGTAGTATTGGCTCGCCGACAATAACAAATCCTGAATACACAGTAGTAAGGACGCAAACCCAGCAATTACCACTGAACATCCGGGTGAGGGGGGTATTTTGGGGCAATGACGTTAGAGAGTCGGAAGCAGCTAATAGATGGCGACCGTATCAGTAAAAAATCTTGTTATCATTTTGTGCAAAGGAGTGGGCAATCTATAGTTGTCTTCATCTATGATCTATGTACCCTATCTATGTATAGTATGTATAGTATGTAGTCTGTGTATGTACCATAGAGAAAGTAAAATAATTATTTTACTTACTCTATGGTATGTACTAGACCTCGTCATCTGGTGGACAAGCGTTTCAGTGACGAAATGGTTGACTGCTTCAGTATTGAAGAACAATCAATTAGTAAAATTAAAATTACGGTCTGGTAGAAATGCAAGTGGCCTTCCTCGAGCTTCTTTGGAAACAGTCAAGATTCTTTTTTTAGACTGCGTGAAAAGTTTAATAAACAAGTCGTACTGAGAAATCGCTTTGCTCCGTATCAAAGACGTGGCAAAAGTGCTGCCAGTGCGGTTTGTTGAACGGTGTGTGCTTGAAAACGTTGCACACATCTGAAAGATAAGCCAAATTGCAATTGTCTTGCTAGCCACGCTCTGGTTCTGCTTTAGCGTTTCGGTTGCTGGGGCTGACGATTACTGCTTCAAAGGAGGAAAAGACAACGAAAAACAGGCCAGAATTCACCATGCCAGGTAGGCAATTTTAAAATTTTACTAAGTTTTGTTAAATCAATTAGTTGGCTTAATAAACTTCTTGGCCGAGTAGGCGTTGGTAACGCCCAGTTCACTGCACTTGCACATGTGCAGTGGCTCTTAAGGGGAAAGTTTAGTAATAACAGAGACAAGTATTCTCTCAGTCTCCTCTAGTAATAATCCCCACTAAAGCACAGTAGATGAGCTTGGGACATCATGGGATCGACGTTCAACTCTCAATTCGAGAAGCTACGAAAACCAAGTTTCTGGCCAGGGAAATCCCCTGAACCCCAAAATTTAGTGCAATTTTGGAAAAATCTCGTTTCCACGTACTGTTCTTGAAAAAACCTGCTCAAGTGGGAAATTAATTCAATGTCTTCAGTAACAATAAGTTTTTTGTCGTCCTTGCAGTGTTGTTTTGCTTGGTTGAAGTTATTGAACAGTTAAATTAAATTAAATGCTTTTAGTATCATGCGGATGTTGATAAAGCGGCAATCTACAGTCTGTAGGTTTGATAAAAAAAAATGTTCTTTTATTAGCTCTGTAGTCGATTTTTTTTTAAATGCAGTTTTAATCTCCTCCAGAGCACACTACTGTAACAGTAACTGGACCACCAATGCGGCCAGCAGGATCTTGTCCTGTTTGTGGAGGAGGTTCTTGGACTGGAACCTACTCGTGCATGGCATGGCTGCTCTGTTTATTCTGCTTCTGGAATTGTGGACTTTGCTGCTGCCTCTGCATGCGCAAAAAGAAGTGCACCAAGTGCGGATTTGCTGTTGCATAAGTCCGAAACAGCATTACTTATTAATTACGTATAACTGTTAGTTTTAACTTGTTTTTCGGTGCTGTATACACATACATTTCGCAAAGAACCACTATTCGCTTCTGTCCAGTATTAATAGGTTTTACTTCCTTCGAAGTATTGTAATTTGTGCTCTACAAAGACGGCGAACCGAGAAATTGTACTTTTGTCAACTTTGCCTTTGTCGCCAAATGCCACTTCGTTAGCCTACTGTGCTAGTTTTAAGTAATTTTTTTAAAATAAACAACATTTTAAACCTATTTCGTGTTTGATTGCCTTTTCATTCATCAATGGATAAAAATCTAGCCCGCACCTGTATGAACAGTAACAAGTTCGGTTAATCCCAGTCAAGCCTCTAATCTACAACTTTATCGCTCGAATAATGTTTCCTGCGCAAAACAATTATTTGTGGAATGCGATTAGAATGTATGCGAAATGAGACAAGCATTTTCAAATGTGTTTCGGATACTACAGGATTTTTTTGGTACACAATGTATTCTGGAAAAACGCGTTGAGGACCTGAAAGCCGAGGGTAAAAACCCTGTGGGTTCTTTTTCACGAACCAATCCGGAATAATAATCGGAACCAAATCCGCACTATCAGTAAGCTGTATTGAATACTTGGACCCAAATTTCGATATGTAAAGCGGTGATTTAGCGAAAAGCTTCAGATCAGCTTAATATGAAAATACAAAGCGGCCCAAATAATTCCCAAAGTTTAAAAAATAACTACGAAAGAACCAATAGCTCAATCGATACCAAATTTACCCTTTCAGTCAGTTGATGAAGACGGGACTAAAAGTTCTACATGTACAAGGACAAAATAATGCTAAGCTTACCGAAAGCTGCGTAGTGCCACCTGGAAGGAAAGAAGAAAATGTGTTTAGTACAGCAGGACATCTGTCCAAAGCCAGACTTATTTGAAATCAGCAAACCAAAGAGAGAAAAGTATGAAGAATCCATAAAACTTCAGGAAAACTAAACTCAGTTCAAGCTAAAAGATTTATATACGATAGACATCGTTCTTTCTAGGTTTTTGCAGCTGGCGCCCCGTCCTCCATTTTCTACTCATTTACTCTCAAGAAGTTCACTACACTTTCACCAACTACCGCACTTTCCATAAGGGCCACAATGATTCTATGTCAGACTAAAATTACAAAGTTGTTATTTTTTTCGAGGAATATTTTCTTAGTTTTAATTATTTTTTTTCGTTTTTTTATTTATTTACTTATGTCCACAGCGACATTGTCAAAAAAATTAAATCAAAATCAATTCCTTGGCTTCAGTCATTTATTGTCTATTTATCAATTAAAATACGTTTCGGTTTTTTCCACCATCATCAGTTTCTATGTGTAGCGTTGTTGCTACTTTAAGCCTTGGCATATATTTTGCAAAGGCTTAAAAAAATATATGCCAAGGCTTAAAGTAGCAACAACGCTACACATAGAAACTGACGATGGTGGAAAACACCGAAACGTATTTTAATTGATAAATAGACAATAAATGACTGAAGCCCAGGAATTGATTTTCATTTGGAATTGAAACACAGTCAGGAAAGTATGTACAAAAAAATTAAACACAAAAAAATCTTAAAATTAACATTAATTGTGTGCTTTACGCCATTACATTTACAACTTTTCTGGGCGTTGAAGTAAAGTGTTTGAAAAAAACCATTTAGTTTTTCAGTTTATAGTGGCCTCCTCTCTCTCTCTCTCTCTCCCCTATTCGTCTTTTAAATACTGCAACTGGCGTAACTCAACCTACGATTTGGAGAATTCTCACAAATAATTTTACATGTTTTAAGATCTAAAATACATAAATGGTTATATTTTCTTTCTTTTCTTTGGAATTTTACAGTTTTAGCCCATTTTCTAAAGATTTACTTAAAAATGCTGACAAACTTACGGGTTTTCCGTGAAAAAATATGAAATAAATTTCGAATTCTTGGTCGCTTTGCAAAAAATGTTGAAATCCCTTGCCATCGTCGAATTTGGAACAAAAATTTAATAATTTTCTATCAAAAAACGAACAGAATAAGCGAAAGTGTATAACAGATTATTTGGAAATTTCGTCACCTCTGAAGACTAGTTTATTAAAAAAATTTGTTTTTTTAGTTTTGGCTGAATTTTTCTTGACAATCTGGGGGTCTTTTACGCGAAACGTTACAAGATAAATTTAAAATTAAAAAAACCGATCAAAAAACTAAAAGTTTTTAATCGAAAACGCAAAAAATCATTATTTTCTGCTGGTTTCCTACTTTTCTGACAATAATGCGGTTATTTCAGTCAAAAAATTACAAAATTAATTTTGCTAGAGAAAATTCATCGCTCTGGAGATTTTTAAAGTTTCTTCAAATTTTCAGGTCAGCCTAGTTTTAACAAAGTTTCTATTAAGCAATTCATTCTGCGCAAAAATTATCTTTCAGTTAAAATACTGACACTCTTCAGGTGTTCTCTGTGAAAAATTATAAGATAAATTTTATTGTAACACTCGCCTCTTTAACCACTTTGCAAAAACTTTTGGAGAACTTTGCACAGCTTCGAATTATGGACAAAACCCTAATAATTAATTCTGGGTTTTTGCAAAAAGATTTCACCGAACTGAAAAGGCGAAAGTTTATAATCATTTATTTGAAAAACGCTTGGAAACTGGGGTTTCTTCACTTTCCGGTCAATATTTTTAAACGACACTGTCCCTAAACAGAAAAACCGGGGTTTTCTTAACGTTTTACTGTAAAATACTGGCAAACTGAATCTTTTAGGCAAAAAAATCGAACATCGATTTTACGAGAAAATTCGTCGACTTTCTTTGGACTCAGTCTGTTGCTGGGAAAATCTAGATGACTTTTTTCAGTTGTTTGAACAAAATAGTAAAAGGTTACCTCAGAAAAATGTTGATACCCTTTTTTCTGAGATGTGAAAATTTTCGTAAAGCTTTAATAAATGACTTATAACTCATTAACCGATGAGTTATAACTCGTTAACCCAGAGAGCGGCTACAACTCAACAGCGAAACTCAACACAGTGTTACCCATGCCTCTCTGCCTTAAAGCAAAAGACACCTTCAGCCTATACTGAGCTCTGCAGGAACAAATAATGACTCCAATCCTGCCCCAGGCCATAAATTATGATTACCGATAAGTCTGATATTAGAAACCGGCAATAAAACTGTATTGTGATGATCTATCTGCACCCAACTCTCTAATTTATTTGTGTGTGGATTGGGCTAGAGCTGACGACCATGCAAGAAATTCCTCCAGGTAAGTGCCAAGTCTTGGCATGGCGCTTAGGACATGTTATGGAAGTTTGGGGTCCTTTCAGCTGCAGATGCTCCTCCTGCCAAGTCGGACGTTGCCATCGAAATTCAGTCAGGTAAGTTGGAAGCAATCGCGATTGCAATTGAATCACCGTATTTGCTGTTTTAGAGGCCGCGCCTCCGCCTTACCACCCGACCCATAGTGGTAAGTACCTGGATAAATAAATGGAGCACTGATAAGGAGTATGTTCCTTGATGTAGGTCAGCCAAATCCGCCCCCGCCAGGACCTCAGGTGGTCTACCAGCAGCCGCCACCTCCACCAACAGTCCGTAAGTAGAAACCTCCGCCAATGAACGGCAAAATTAATTGCCAGATTGCTTCCAGATGTGATCCATACGCAACCCACGCCACTGGTGTGTCCAGTTTGCCAGAACACTTTGTGGTTGTCCCACTATCCACTGTCTGCTTGGTTGGTGGGCATTTTGCTGTTCCCCATCGGCATCCTCTGCTGCCTGATGATGAAGAAGAGAATGTGCACTAAGTGCGGCCTGCGCATTTCCGCTTAAGTCCACCCGGCATTACTGTAATATATTACATCTCACAGTTTATTTACAAAATATTAATTACAAGGTTCGTTCGCAATCGTTGCAGTTATTTACATAAAACAAGTTTAAAGTCGTACTGATTAGGGCATTACCGCTACACTAGAGTTAGTATCTGCCGTTCTTCTCCCTATCCGAGTACTTGCCGGACAGTTTGCTCACTGAATACCGATCACTCTCCCTATACCGGTCGTCTCCATATTTCTCCTCAGCTTTGTAGTGGATTTCCGGAGAAGCTCCGATGGTTTTCGACCAATGGTGGGTCCAATAGAGCTCGTCTGGATTCACTTGACTCGGCGATTTCACGTCCCTGCAGATCACCACGCAGTAAATCAGGCTGCCGATGAGCGTGAGGAAGCCGAAGATCAGGAAAATGATGCCGAACACCCTGGGAATCACCTTGCAGGTCAAATGAACGTGATCTGCGGACGAATCAGTCACCTACCACACAATAACCGGCTCGAAAAATTGGATGACTATGACGAATCCCAACGTGACCAGAATGATTCCAAGGTTCAGCAGGAGCATTAAGCAGCACATGCCCTTAATGTTGGGGCAGAATGGGTTGGGGGCCGCCATTGTTTCCACCGTCATGCCCGCTTTCCTGGAGCCTCTGCCAGTTTTCACCGTACTCCTGCTGGTTCGACTTGCCACTGAAGGAGCCGCTCCTGATCTGTACGAGTAGTGACTGGGTGGTCTGGCTCGACTAGAAGGACTTTGAAATTTCGTTTTTCGCTGTTGGGGATTAGAATTTTTACCTGATTTCTGATGGCGCCTTGTAGGCACCACTGGTCACGTAGATGTCCGATCCTGTATCATCATACCGACTGCTTTTGCTCAAAGCCGAAGGAGCTCTGGACGAAGTGTAACCATTATGTCTGGGACTGCTACTGGTGTATCCCGGTCGGCTGCCTCTTTCGTTCACGATAGTATATGGCTGGAAGGCCAAAAAACTCAGTTGGAAAAGCCAAAACATCAAAGGAGCGCCCGGCGTACCACTGAAGTGTACTCGGACACTGTCCTGTCCGAAGGAGCTCGATGACTGTCCTCGCCATCGGAATAGGCCGCACTTCTGGACACATGGACTGGAGTTGGGGAATCGTTGCGACTTAGTGCCGAAGCAATGTAGTGGTTTTTACCCACTTTGCGCACCATCTTATGCGAAATCGATGGTCAATGTCCGGTTAGGAAGTTGTCATCTGAAACATGGATTTGCTTAGGCGGGTTTATAGCGTTATGGTTCAATTGGCTGTACCGCAATCTGGGCAACAAGGCAATGAACAAACTGAAAATTAATGGCCTCAACGTAGAACCAGTGGGTACAGTTACATTGCTAATTAACGCTGCTAAAGTGCTAAACACCTGAAAAATATTTAGATTGGTTGGTGTAGACAAACTGCTGTCAGCTGGATTGTTTAGTGATGAGCGAACGATTTGCACACAGAGTCTCGTTCTTGGCCTTGCTAGCCAAAAGACAGTCGGTTTTGGTTTGCGTCTTTCAACGAGAGGCTTGCAAGTCTTGCTTTTAAATAAGGTGATAAATTTAATAAATGCGGCTCCGGCCTCTAGTTTTTTACAACAAAGATTCGAATCAAGTTTAATAGAACCACACCTGCRTCAAAACCAGTCGAATTTTCTGTCATGTTGTTATGGCTCACTCGAATTTGTCATTTCTCTATCCAACGATGCCAAAATGAATTCTGTGGCTYAAATGAGAAACTTGAAAACGCTTGRGAAACTTCGAAAAMCGCAGCGTCATGTTTGAGACGATTTTGCAACACAAAAAAAAATCACGCAAGTCTAAACCTGYTTGCACTCATGACTTTTTTGAGAAAACTGCCAATATTTCCTTATTGATGGTTCACTTTCTAAAAAGTCCATTTAGTTCTCTCTGGAATGATGTAAAAACGAGCGCTCTTGCTTATTTCGATTCCGAGAAATGAGCAAAAACGGGACGGAAAACAAGAAATTTTGGCATAATCTTGCATCTAAGTGTCTCATTCAAATTTCGCTTTCTCGGTCAAAACTACTCGAATTTCCTCACTCATGTTGTTATGACTGAATCGAATTTTCAATTCTCTATCCAACGATGCCAAAATGAATTCTGTGGCTCAAATGGGGCTTGAGAAACTTCGAAAAACGCAGCGTCATGTTTGAGACGATTTTGCAACCCAAAAAAAATCACGCAAGTCTAAAACTGCTTGCAATCATGAGTTTTTTGAGAAAACTGCCAATATTTCCTTATTTCCTTATTGATGGTTCACTTTCTAAAAAGTCCATTTAGTTCTCTCTGGAATGATGTAAAAACGAGCTCTCTTGCTTATTTCGATCCCGAGAAGTGAGCAAAAACGGGACGGAAAACACGAAATTTTGGCATAATCTTGCACCTAAGTGTTTCATATTCAAATTTCGCTTTCTCAGTCAAAACTACTCGAATTGACTCAATCGATTTATCAATTCTCTATCCAACGATGCCAAAATGAATTCTGTGCCTCTAATGGGGCTTGAGAAACTTCGAGAAACGCAGCGCCATGTTTGAGTCGATTTTACAACCCAAAAAAAATCAAGCAAGTCTAAAACTGCTTGCAATCATGAGTTTTTTGAGAAAACTGCCCATATTTCCTTATTGATGGTTTACTTTCTAAAAAGGCAATTTAGTTCTCTTTGGAAGAATGTGAAAATGAGCGTTCTTGCTCATTTTGCTTCCGAGAAGTGAGCAAAAACGGGACGGAAAACACGAAATTTTGGGATAATCTTGTACCTAAGTATCTCATATCCAAATTTCGCTTGTTCGGTCAAAACTACTAGAATTTCCTCACTCATGTTGTTATGACTAAATCGAATTTTCCATTTTCTATCCAACGATGCCGAAACGAATTCACATCAATGTGAATCACGAACAATGTGGCTCAAATGGGGCTTGAGAACCTTGATTGTAGTTCATTGATTGTCGTATTCGTAAATATTCCTAGTGTGTTTCTTATTGTTTCTCCGCCCAGCATAATTGAATTCCTGTGGTCATAAACATTTTCAAGAAAACCCCAATGTAAAAATCTACGCGATTTAAATCCGGCGATCGAGTAGGCCAATGTTCCCTACCTTTCCTAGTTATCCAACGATTTGGATCTACTTCGTCTAAGTGATTACGTACATTAATGCTGCCATGGGCTGGTGCACCACGTCTTCAAGAATAACAAGTAGGAAATCCTGTAGGCAATAAAGGTAAAATTTAGTGCCCTGTAGTGGTTGCGGGAGGAAATATGGGCCCTTTAACTGATCATTAATTACCCCAAGCCATACATTTATGGTAAACTGATGCTGAAAATGAGTTTCAAATATTTCATGTGCGAAAAAGTGTCTCTAGGTAGTAGAGCTTGAACTACTTAGTTGATTATGAAACTAATACAATTTTCATTACTTGGACCATCGACAAAATGCATGTCAAACAATTCCGCATTTGCAAAATTTTCGATTTTTCTATCAAAGAAAACTTAATTACTTATTGGCACTGAAAGGTGTGGCAATTTTAAAGCTTAATAATGAAGAAAGGCTAATTTCATTTTGATTAAGCAAATTGGCTGCGTTGAGAGCTTTATGAAATAAAATGTCATTATAAGGTGTTTTATTTTTTCGCATCAAACCGGCGCCCCATACGAAAAATAGGCAAGATATATTTTTTATCACAAATTGAACGAGCAATTGAAAAATTATTTTTAATTTTTATTTAAACACCCTCTATAAACACCATTTTTCGTCGATGCGAAACATGGCAATTAACAAAAAAACTCGAGAGATGACTCATGAAACTTGACATGGACTTTGGGGGAAGATCTTCACGAATGAAAGAATAAGAGGTACTCTTGCGAGTAGAGGAAAAAAATGGACGAGATTCAAAGAAGACAACTGATATGTTAGGGGCACATAGACGTAATGAGTGATGATCGGATGCCTATAATGGTAACTAAATGGACACCCCACGAAAGGAGGAAAAGCGGAAGACCGAAAGAAACATGGTTCGAAGGAATACAGATACAGAGCGGAATTTTCCGGATTACAGAGGATATTGGGAAGACAGAAGCAACTGGGGACTGGGAACCGGAAGCCGAGGGACCGCTATTTTGCTGCATCAGGTATTATGCACATTGTCTAGGCAATGTGAAGATTAAACATATCTAACTCTCAGATTGACTAGCACTGACGGCATTTTGCACATTGCCGGATTTCGTACATTGCTGGTAACACATACACTAAAATTTCAAGGTAAAAGTGAAAAATGTTTAGAACAAATGTCTTAGATAAGTTCTATATTGTTGAGGCGGATTCATTTTTTTACAAACTTCTTTTTGGATATTTCGCCTCAAAAATTTTTGTCTTTAAAAAAGGCATAATTTCCTCACGTCTTTTATTATAGATTGATAAATAGTGCTCCTATTTCGCAATAAGAACGAATTATTTATCAAAAAGTAATCAAGAACTATCAC